ATTGCGACAGTAGAGGAACGATATTACAGTCCACCATACTTTTCTTCATTTCTAACGAAATTTTCCTGTTTTTTAATACTTTGCTTCGGATTCCAGAGTCTCATTTTCCGCCCTTTGTTAAAAGCATTTCTCAGATATTTAATATTATTTTTTACTTGCTTGATTTTGGCATCTCTAATTATTAACAGTAAAAAACGTAAATATAGCTTGAAGAAGCGTAAAGTATCAAGTGAAACCTGACAGTATCTCTCTTAAGTAGCCAGCTTTTCAATAAACCCTTACCAGGAAGACAAATGTTCCGTCCATGATCTCAAAACAACCATCGCCTCTATAATTCCAAATTCAACAATCAGCGAAGAAACTGATGATAATTGCTTCCCCGTGTGCTAAATTTGTGGCATGAGGACTACTTCTGGCGCCTAAGTCCATAATGGTCGGCATCTTTCTGACTTATTCAAGATTCTGATTATATGGGCCAATGGCCGGAATTCCATACCTTCCGGTCGCGTGAAACTCGATCCCGAACGTTTTCATTTATTTATTTGTTTCCTTTTCTTTTTTTCCCTACTTGTGGACAGCAAATGGTTGCCTTAAAGTTCTCACATCTGGAATTTAGTGTCGATTATCGTAAAAACTGTCACTCATAAAATCATTTCGGTCCCACTTGATTTCGTGTGTCGTAGCCAATCTAGTCGGGACTCTCCGTGTCACACTGGTAACGTATCCCCATTTTTTTGTAGTAATAAACACGTAGAAACAGTTATTGATTTTTTTTTTAATTTCTTTTTGAAAACAAAATTTAAATTTTAAAAGCAATTGTTTATAGAAATCATCTGTGGCGGGGTACAAAATATTATGGCATTAAAATCGGCATTTTCAAAAGTATATAGTCACATAATATATGCAAATATACTTAAAAATAAAAATGAAAGAAGATCAGGGATAAGTAAAAATTATTAATCACCATAAATTGGTGAATTGAAAAACAAAAAAGAAGCAACGAAAAAAAAAAAACAATAACATCATAACATGCATGCAAAACGTAACGCATTTCTTTTATTAGTATACAAAAAATAAAATCCATACAGACAATATAAAGAAAGTTATAACAATATTAAAACAGTAGGTGTTTATGTTTTTGTACTCTCAGAAATAAAATGAAATGGCAGGGGAGACAACTCTAGAAAGGAATTAGTGTGATAAAGGTTAATAAGAGTGGAAATAAAATGGTTGTTTGTGAATTGTGGCTGACTCATACATCATTTGCCTTTCACTGCATCTTTGTCTGAATAAATTATATTCAGTTATTAAAATGTTTTCCAGGTTAAAATTGTGATCAGTTTTCACAGGATTGTTGATATGTTTAAAAAATTAAACGCTAAATCAGAATGGCCAATAAAAACGGAGTAAAAAGGTTTTAAGATAGAGTTTAAAAATTCATTGTTTGTAGACTTCAAAGATTTACTGATAATTTTCGAGTTTAGCATTTTGGACTTATACACGATCCTCTTCGGTAAGGGTTGATCGAAAAGCTGACTGCTTTAGAGAAATTACACTCCCCTTTCCGTCTTGGTATTAATTTTATTTCAACATGTCTCCGCTCCTTCAAGCTATATGTAAATTCATCTTCCCAAGTTATTCTCTATTGGCATTGTCATACATTAATTTGTTTCTAGTTAGAGGACCTTTGCAAAGTTTAGACGCTAACCTCACTTCATATCGTTCAGTTTCTTTTCGTTTTGTTTTTAACGCTATAACCAGGAACCTGCCTGTTGAGTGTCACACCCGTCAATAAATGAAAAACAGCATGTGATGACACGTAAGCGGATGACTACTACGTTTAACTGGATTTTTCAATACAGCTTTTTTGCTTTGTGGATATTAATCTGGAGACGTTGATTGGTTGTTTAGTCGTACGTCATATTAGGTAGGTCGCAGCCTTGTTCTGGATTCTTATCTACCTTCAAAGACTCTGATATTCAAATCATTTAAACATCATTGACATCCCACCGGATCTGGTAAGGTATGCACACATACAAGCAGCATCGTTGCTGCTGCGAACTGTGGATACGCGTGTAAGAAAGAAAGAGACAGAGATAGAGACAGAGAGACATAGACAGAGAGAAGGGAGAGAAATAAAAAAAAAAGAATAGACAAGGAGAGAGAGTAACGAAAAAAAGAAAACAAAGGAATATAATAAAGGAAAAAGAAAAATACAGAAAAGGAGAAAAAGAAGAAAAATAAAAAGATAGAGAGATAGACGAAAAACCAGAAGAAAAAAAGAAAAGAGCGAAAGAAGTGGGGAAAAAGAACTAATATAAAGAAAAAATGGAGATTGTAACGTGTATTAAAATGGCTACTAATAAATTACATGAAGCCAGTTCCTAAAAATGTTGTGGTTTATTTTGCTTTTATTTACGACTAGCAGCATGGCCCGGCGTTGCCCGTGTTTGGTTCAGAAATCGTACGACTCATACAGCAATCGCTATCACTTGACTTAAAATATTTTTGCCCTTCCTTGCCTTTAAAGGAGTGCCCTTTGCTGTGCTGATGTTGCTACATGCCTTACTTCTTGCCTATCTCACACTGCGAATTTTTTTCTAAGCTCTATACTAAACATTAAATCTGTTACGAAAAAAGAACTAAACAAAATGAACACAAAATGATCAGCTTTTAAAAAAGGACTCGTAACTGGAAAAACCCAATGAAAAAAAGAATGTTAGCAACAAATACTTTTTCACACCCAACCCAGTTCTGTGGAATCAGAATCAACGTTGAATCTAAGCAAGCGAATGAGCCAATTGGAGTAAAGTGCCATGCAGATTTAAATTTTTCCCACTTGTGACGAATGCAGCTATCGATTTTTTTGGTATGCTAGTTAACATTCGTATCAGTCAGCTGTTTGCTCTCACGATGGCCAATAGAATCTTCCTGCCTATTCGTGGCAGCCAGCTATTGACTCTCCCTCTGGCCAGTAGAAAATGGCCGCAAATTACATGAAAACTGCCGTAGAAGCATGAAAAAATCGATTATTTCCACTATCGATCCAAGTTGGGAAATGCAAAGTCGGTCTTGGCCTTCCCACTAACTTTGAAGGTGCATGCAAATTTTGGTGCAAATCCGTGGAAAATTGCGGCCGTGCATTCGTTACACACACACACACACACACACACACATTCTGCCTTTTATAGATAGAGATTAATGTATCAGTAAAAGCGACACAAATGCTGTGGAATGTGCACCTGTGTTTTATAGTTACGACACAAGGATCTATTTGTACTGATGGGAAACTAGATCTATTTGGAAAAGATGTTAAAATAATCCAGAACTTATATTGAGAGAGCTAAAAGTCTGAAGACGGATAGAAAATAAATTGGGTGGTTGTATAAAAATAGAAACAGGTATGAGATATAGATGTATCATCTCCCCAGATATTTTCAATCTCTACAGCAACGCCTTCTATAGGGAACTGGAGTCCCTATCATGATTCATCATCGGCGCGTGTAATGCCAGCAATATAGGATACGCAGATTACAGTATTGATGTCCTGCTCGAAAAGGAAACTAAAGGACCTACTAGACAAGTTGGTAGAAGAAAGCGAATAAAAATGACTAAACATTAACTGGAAGAAGACAGAAAGTATGGCCATCAGCAAGAGAAAAAGTTCAAGATGTGAGTTACAAATATCTGGGAAGTGTTTTGATAGAGGATGGAAAATGTGACAGTAAGATTCAAACATGTATTGGACTAGTAAAAGAAACAGTCCAAAAGTTAAGCAAGATTCTGAGAAATGGAAAAAATTCATTAAAGCAAAGAAAAAAGTACTAAATTGCTGTTATCCTCTTATATGTGCCTGTTAAAACGTATCCTACTTTCACTATGCCATATTGGTAGATATCAAAAAAGAGTATCATTTAATCTCACAAGTCTCCTGGGTCATACCATATTCCATGAGTATATTCCAGAATGGTGAAGGAGGTGCAGTTTTAGTAAATAACCTCCTGTGCCAAATGGGTATTATTTTGAAAATCATCTTTTCTAAGTCATTTCATCATTAAAGATCATCATTATTTTACTTAACAGAAATAGAGAATTAACTTAGGCCTTGAATAATAGCAAACCTAATCTCTGTTCTTATGCCAGCAAAATCACTAAACTGTGTTAATTTAGACTGAGATAGAAAACTACAGAACCTTCTAGACAGGATGGTAGAAGAAATCAGGAAAAATGAGTAACCATCACTTGCAAGAAGACAGAAAGTATGGTTATCAGCAAAAGAAAAAGCTCAAGATGTGAGTTAAAAATATCTGGGAAGTGTTTTAATAGAGGATGAAAAATGTGACATTAAGATCCAAACATGTATTGGACTGGTAAAAGAAGCAGTCCAAAAGTTAACCAAGGGTCTGACCATCAGGCCAGTGTAGTATTTCAAATATTTGGGAAGTGTTTTAATAGAGAAATGGAAAAAGCGATACCAAGATACAAACACGCACTGGATTAGTGAATGAGGATTTCCAAAAGCTAAGCAATGTACAGAGAAAGGGAAACATTTCGTTAGAAACAAAGAAAAGAGTGCTCGATTGCTATGTGATACCCATGCTCTTATATGACAGAAAATGTTGGATAATTTCCCGATGGATGAGGGACAAACTAGAGGCAGAAGAAACGTGATTCCACAGAAGGATAGTGAAACTTCCATGGACGGAGCGACTAAGCAACAAGAAAGTCTTAAAGAAAAATGGTAACAGAAAGGACAATTATAATCAAAATGAGGAAGAGATGACTAAAATTCCTTGGACACATAATGAGGAAGGAGGGCTTGGAAAACTTAACACTCACGGGGCATATTGCGGGCAAGAGAGATAGGGGAAGGCAGCGAGCCACTTACCCGACGAAAATGGATGGTTGAACGGGAGACGGGGGACCTTAGCAAAAGAAGCAAAACTGCTAAGAGCCACACGAAATAGAAAGCTGTGGAGAGCCATGAAGGGACGAAGAACACTGAAGGGGAAGAAGAAGAAGAGTTGAACGAAAATGGTATCTGAGAAGGAAGAAGAAGATTAAGAAGAAAAGAAGAATAAAGAAAAAACGTAAAGAAAAAGAAAGAAAGAAAGAAAGAAAGAAAGAGAAAGAAATAAAGAAAGAATAAGTAGAAAAAGAAAGGAAAGGGAGAAAAGGAAATTAAGAAAAGAAAGCTAGGAAAAAGAAGGAAATGTGAATAAAAAGAAAGGAAAAGGAAAGGAAGAAGAAAAATATTGAAAAAGATGCAAGAAGAAGAAAAAGAAAATTGACGGAAACAGAAAAGAAAATTGTAAAAAGCAGACGAAAAGAAAAAGAAGTAGGAAAGAAGAAGAAGGGAAAGAATAAGAGGAAAAGAAAAAAATAAGCGAAGGTAGAAGAAGAAAAGAATAATGTGAAGAGGAGAAAAAATGAAGGAGGAATTGAGGAGAAAAGTAAAAAAACGAAAAGAAAAAAAAAGAAAAATAAAGGAAGAAGATTAAAAAAAGATTAAAGAGGAAGAAAAGTGATTGTGATTGGTTATCTTGATTTTAATGTAAAATATCATATTTCCTCGAATTTTTAAAAGAAAGCGTCGCTATTTTAAACACTTGATGCATCTTGGGTAGGATAAATTTCAACTACGAATTGCAACTGAAGAATGATCCATTTCACAATAGAAGGTAGCAATTGGGAGTAAAATAATTCGATAAGTTAACATCAACTCGAACATTTTTCACTTTTTCAGCGTCTTTGTTTTTTTTTTTATTATATCAGTGCAGAACACAACAGTCACTATGGAATCATCATTTATACAAATGAGACCAAGCTTAAAACCTTAATTTGAGGACACTTAGCGTGGTGTAATGGTAAACAAGCTTGTCATCTGGGAAGTGTTCTAACAGAGGACGGAAAGTGCGACACTGAAATCCGAAGACACATTGGGATAACCAAAAATGTATTCCCAAAACTAAGCAGTCGGTTAAGAGACTGAAAAACCTCGTTAAAAATAAAATAAAAATGTACTAAACTGCTATTTAATATCAGTCTTACTATATGGCAGTGAATGCTGAGCAATTTCCTCAAAGATGAAGAAGAGACTTAAAGCAACATAAATGCGGTTCTACAGTAGGATGCTGAGGATGCCATAAACCGAATATACGAGCAGCATCGAAAATTTGAATAAAATGGAAACAAAAAGGAAAATTATACTTAAAATTAGGAAAAGACACCTGAAATTTCTGCTGTGCGCAATGAGGAAAGAAGGCTTCGAAAATCTGATACTCACGGGGCAGATTGAGAGCAAAAGTTAAAGACGAAAACAGAGCATAACATACTTGATGGGCTTGAGTAAATGGATGACAGAACATAATTTAGGAGAAATAGCAAAAGCACAAAAATTTATTAAGAGCTATAAGAAAAAAGAAGTCGTGGAGGGCCATGATCGCTTACTACCTTGAACACGGCACATAAAGAAGTGAATTCGATCCTCACTGGGTTGCTCCATGCTTACGACCTTATACCACAAGTAAACTACGCTTACCAAATCTCTATACACTTCCCTGGCACCAGAGAAAAAGCAAGGTCATAATAATTTCGACAGGTCCATCGTTTTTTATCAGGGAGTCAGGTTATAAAATTGTGTACCTGGAGACCAGGAAAACATTTTTATGTTTATACATTCTTTTTATAGATACAAGTATTTAAGTAAATGCTCTGTTTATAATAAACAATATTAAACAACATTTACCGGCCTGAATGTCCGAGAAATTTTCGGAGGACGAATATTTTCTGTGAAAATTTCTCGGACATTCAGGCCGGTAAATGTTTTTAATACTGTTTATCATAAACAGAGCATTTAGTTTTAAATATTTGTACCTATAAAAGAATATTCGGCCCGGTGGCTAGGATCAAAGTGTAGTATCTGCGCTTTGTGAGCTGCCGAGGCTGGGTGTTCGTCGAACTCTCTGCTTGCAGAGAGGAACCTGGACGATCCAAGAAGGGTAGGGGTTTCGTTCGGGGAGGTTGACGGGAATCTTGACGGTTTAGATGGTTTTTTATTTTTGGCTGCCTACGGCCGGACATACCCTGTAAAAACTCTCTGCTTGCATTCCTGGGTGAATTGATAAATACCATCTAAAAAAGAATAGCTCGGCCCGGTGGCTAGGATCAGGGTAGTTTCTGTTCTGTGTGAGCTGCCGGGTCGGGTGTCTGTCGAACTCTCTGTTGACGGAACCGGCCGAAGCTCTGCCGAAGGGTAGGGTTTCGTTAGAATAGGCTTGGACGGGTTTATGGTTTTTTTTGGCTGGGCCTACGGGCTCAGACATACCCACATAAAAAGGCCTTGTGCCACATTCAATTCCTGTGGGTGAATTGATAAATACCATCTAAAAAAAGAATACCCGGTGGCTAGGATCAAAGTGTAGTATCTGTGCTTTGTGAGCTGCCGGGCCTGGTGTTCGTCGAACTCTGCTTGCAGAGAGGAGGACGAAGCTCTGCCGA